CCAAGACTGGTGAAGAAGCAAGGAGACCTTTTGCCCTGTCAAATGCTTGTTGCTCTTCCTCGCCCCATGCCCACTTAGAATCTTTTTTCAGCAAATTGTGAAGTGGTGCTAGAACAGAAGCAAGATTAGGTAGGAACCGACGATAATGTGAAAGCATTCCAACGAACGAGCGTAACTGGGCTCCGTTACGAGGTGAGGGTGCAGAAATAATGGGTTGTAATTTATCTTTCCGCGCGTGTAAACCATGATTGTCCAGTCTATAACCGAGGTAGTCAACTGAATCAACTAGGAAAGCACATTTGGAGCGTTTCAAACGCAAACCGTGTTCAGAGAGTTTATGCAACACCCGGTCCAACGTGTACAAGTGCTCCTTTGCTGTGCGACCCGTGATAAGGATATCATCGAGATATGCGCAAGTGTTCGGTATGTCACGCACGATATTGTCAATTATCCTTTGGAAGATCGCCGGCGCTGAGTTAATCCCGAAAGGCAGTCTAGTGTATTCGAATAGCCCCAAATGGGTACTGATCGTCGTAAGACGTCTGGAGGTCTCATCCAACTCTACCTGCGAATAGGCGTGACTCAAATCCAATTTAGTGAACTTGACTCCTCCAGACAAGTTGGCATACAAATCCTCAATTTTCGGTAATGGATAACGGTCTGTGATGGCACCTCGATTTATTGTAAGCTTATAATCACCACAGATTCGTACGTTACCGTCGGGCTTAAGTACAGACACTATCGGGGCCGCCCATTCAGCTTGTTGGACTGGTACAATTATACCTTCTCTTTGAAGCCTTTTCAGCTCGTCTTCCACTCTAGGTCGTAAGGAATAGGGCAGTGTTCTGGCCTTAAAGAACTTTGGTGTACTTGAGTCTGACATATGGATTTTTGCTTTAAAATTATTGAGTCTGCCCAATTGCTGCTCGTCAAACACTTCTGGATATCGATTAAGGACCGATTCAAAGGTATCCTCCCCCACGGAGTGGATAGTATTTAGTACTTGTGGTAACATTTTCATCCAATCGCGACCAAGCAAATTGACTGGAGCCTGAGGCACGACATGAAGTACCAGACTGTGTGATCTACCCTGATGCTGCACTCGTACCTGACACTTCCCAAGTAAATCAATCACTTCTCCTGTATAGGTTCTAAAAACAGTATCAGTCGGTTCCAGGTCGGGTAACGATGAGAGCGCGTTTTTACTAATCAATGTCACCGCGGAACCAGTATCCAATTCAAATAAAACAGGTTCGTTATTAACATGAAGGGTGATCCTATATGGAGACACTTTTGTCATAACTGAGCGGTTTGAAATTATATGGTTCATAAAATTTAGCTGGGAATTTGGGCACTCACCGTCGTAGGAGTTCAATGATTTGATCGAGACTTGTGACCGTGGGGAACGGCAAACACGTGCCAGGTGGCCAAGTTTTCCGCAATTTCAGCACTTTGTGCGAGTATGAGGACACTGGGTGGGAGAAGTGTGCTGACCCCCGCATCGGTAGCAGACGAACTTCCGTACCCTGTTTTCAAAGGATAACCGTGGTGACAGTTTGTTTACACATTCCACAGGCTGAGGAGGGTTGAAGGTGGATAGTTGGGATTTTAGGTTTTCCCTTTGACGTACAAGGTTACACGCCATTTCCCAGGAAAGGGTTTCTTCCTCCTGTGACAATAATTTTTCCCTCGCACCATCATCTGTAACTCCACCAATTAGGCACTGGATTTTCATGACTTCTTCAAACCGACTTGAGGGAATGGTATTGTACCGGCATTCCGGTGTAGCTTGATGAATGCGGGCAATGAAATCATTTACACTTTCTCCGCATCGTTGCTGTAGCTTGAAAAACTGATAACGAGCGGAAAACACACTTTGTTGGATTCCCCACAATTCCTCAAACAACTGGATCACGTGCACAATACTGGTCTTAGCCATCAAGTTCATAGTGTCAAAATGATGTTGTCCTTCTGATCCAAGGGCTTGGTGGAATAACATAATCCAATGGGTATCGGATAACACGATAGAGGGGTTTAACACAGGAAAGAGAGTCATTTGATGTTGGAAAGATGTTTTCCACTGTATCCACGACTGGAGAGAGGGTTTTTCTGCACCATCAGGCCACAGACATGACAGTCCCGCAAGAGGGCTTGTAGAAACCGTCGCCATTCTGATACGTATTACTCGAGTATTGCTGGATCGCACCTGGACCCGTAGTCCGCGCAAGAAGTGAATAAGAACACACCGGATGGGACGTGTCAAAAACGGTAATGGTAGCTTGTAGGTTACACCGGATGAATAAGTCGAGAAGGAACCAATCAGCACAAGGAAAAAGAGTGGACGAATCAGCTATCGGTCAATCGATCTGTATGTGTCTGTGTTTTGCTCATCGGTTTAGCAGACGACACACATGTAACAAAAGGCGTAAGCCAGTCTTGAAAACGTGTTTTGCAAGGATCGAGAAGAGAAACTTGCTCTTTTGTTAACCTCCGCCTGTTCTCCCACTAACTGTACCCATGCTCAGTTTGTGTTCCGACCATCAACCTTGTCTCTCCATCAAGTACTTTCGCCACCATGATATCTAGTGTGCACCATAATCCTCCCAGTGTTGATCGCAGACTGACCAGAACGCCATAAGTCACTGATTGTGTGGTAGTCTTTGGGACTGCAGGTTCTATTGGTCCATTTGCTTCGAGTTTGATCATGCACTGGTACGAGCGACAGTTTGAATGAGGTCCGGTGATTCATCCGAGAGTAAGCAAACCCGAATGAATTTCGGCAAATTGGAAGGCCCAACCGTGCACGTGGTGTCAATGGAAACCTCGCGAAAGTCCCACTTTTTCTATATTAATGGTTATTCTCGCAACAGGTTGCTTTCTGTGAACTTGTCCAGTTACGGTCTTGTTCGCCATAAACCTAAGATGGATCTCGAAAGTCCTGGGAGATGCTTGACCATTGACGAGTTGTACCCGTCTGTTTGGAGCACGATGAATCCCGCCAGTCAATTTATAAACAACTGACAGCAAATCTTCACCGTGGCTATGAATCCTGCTGGCGTAAACGAGCCATGAAAATGGAGGTTGCTGCCTCGATTGGGAACAACCTCAGCTTGTTTTATGGGATCCACAGGATGCGCATCACATGCCACCAGAGTCAATATACGAGTTACATTGCACAAGAATAACCAACCTGAGTAAGTGCCTGGACTGTTGAGCGGAGCACCATGATCCTTACTTTAACCATACAATACAACCCTCTTTAACATCTTCATTAACTGTTTGTACAAATTCTCCTAGTAAAGCGGAAGTTCGCGGAGTAGTAAGGATTCTGAGACGCTACAAATATTCCGGCCCTAACAGTTTTCTCCGGCTTTATTCAAAGAGGGAGAGAACATGGTCGTCCCTCTCATCGATTGTAAAGCTATGGATTGATGAGAAGGTTCTCAACTCATGAGACGAATCTGTTGTGGTTTCGATGTACAAAAAAGACCCCCGCAGCTAATGCATCAAAGAGGTGCTCAGTTATTTCTGTCACGTCCAAGGTTTTTGTGTTCATCCGACTTCGTAGACTTTCAGTTGCGCGGGAAATTGTCTCGCGAAAAACAGGCAGGTTTTTGTGAGAGCCTAGGTTGCATCGACCATATCTTCATGCTGCATCACATTCTCGAACATCGTCCCGTCAACTGAAGACTAACAATCATTATGTTCATAAACATTTGAGCCGCTTTTATCTCTATGGAATTTTTGGTTAAGAAACGGTGTACCTGAGAGGTTTGTTTTAACCCTGAAAGAGTTGTACGGTCACACAAGGGGCAGTTGGAGCATACGACAGGTATTCTTCTTCCTTGGATATAATCAGCGGAGTACGCCGGAGATCGCTCTATGTCGCCTTTCCTATTCAACTTTGGTATCGAAGATGTTCTTTATCGCGCACTGGAAGGATCCTAGAGCTGCGGCGTTGAGCTTCTCCTTGGGGACAGAGTCGCAGAATTCGATTATGCTAACGCACTCACTTTGTTGGGAGACGACGCACAGGCAGTCCAAAACATTTTGAACGGCTTAGCGACAGAGGTATCTAAATATAGACTGTATTTTCCCCCATTCAAGTGCAAAGCTTTATTTCAGCATTGGGAAGCGCCTATGCCAGTACGCAAGACTGCGGGTGACAGCCTATGGCAAATTAATAGCCGTACCTATTTCGGAAGTTGAATCACGGCCGGTGGCGATATTGGAGATGAAATTCCATAACGAACTGCCATTGTATTCATTAACCTGAGACATGTGTAGTGCCTTCGCGATGTTAGTCTCAAGCTCAAAGGCAGAGTGTACAATGCCACCATCTGTGCGGCCATATTGTACGGCTGCGAGACCTGGCCGGTTCGATCGGAAGATTCGGGACTACCGTCAGTTTTCGACAACCCTAACTGTCATTTGCAAAACGACTGATCGTATGTGGTGGCAGTACCAAGTAAGCAATACGGAAGTTAAGAGTCGAGTGCTCGGAGCGAACACTGCCCGCCTAGAATTCCTTTTCAAGTAGGGTTCAGTTTTAAACAATAACAAATGTAAAACATTAAAAAGAATCTTATCCCCTTTATGGCATCAAATTATTCCTATCTGAACAAAATGTTCCCCTTCAAGTAACGCTGTAGTTCTGATGACACAATTGTCGGTTTTCAGACTGGAGAATGGATACAAGGTCGCTTGATTTCCCGCATATTTGCTCCCATACTTTCGGTATTCAGTAGATATAACTGTTGAAGTCGCCAAGCACTGATTTGAAGAATGGCCGAAACAACCTCCATGGGTTTCTTTAGCTATGACAGAGTATAGAACAGGTGTAGTGGGGACACAGCTGCTGGAGGATTTCGATGTGGCACTGTCGAATTGGCAGAACCTAAACGAAGATTGCGCACAAAGGTTTCATCACTCACGACTGAGAACACCCTACCACTAAGTTGAATACATAAAACGAATGGAATGAATGAAATGGAACGTACTTGAATTAAACCCCGACCGCCAGAGTGAAGAATACGGGCCAATTCATGCACTGCCTGAAGTCGACGGTCTGAAGTGCACAGGTGGTGCAACACCGCGATGCATAGGAAAAAGTCCAGGCGTTCCTCGTGGTAGGGAAGTCGGAGTATATCGGCGACAATCACATCGAAGCCTTAAACGGGAAATGGGGCACGGTGTATGAAGTCCCACTTTTGAAGACTGGAAACGACGACAAGGCAACAACATCGTATGAGCAGAAAGCGGACAGAACAGTGAACAGGATGTATTGGGATCTTTTACTTCACCGGACCCATGATGAAAGTGAAACGAATGAAATGCTAGGAAACGAATGGAAACACGTGCCAGAGAGGTTAGACACGTAATGTGGTACAGAACTGACAGCCTCAATAATTGTGCTAAAGTATGTTACGCATAAAAAAGAACGTCCACTATCAGTCATCCATGTCTCAGTGGCCAAAGTCATTGCCTCGCAAGAAGACTGCCGGGAGTTCGAAATTCACGGGGATGTCAGGAGGAGTACCAAAGGGACAAAACGACCGTCAAGCGCCTGTCCGGATCTATTGTGACTAATGAATAGAATCCGGCTGTAACGAATCTCCTCAGAATGGATCGGAAAGTGGAGGTCTCCAGGCCTGGCGTTTTAGTGTAAGCGTGCTGGTTTACCGGAGCTAAGCAGAAAGGCACACAACGAATCACCAAATAGTGCTGATTGAATACCAAGCGTTGAACCGATTTGCGGGTGCTTTCTACAATGCCACAAAGCTGACGTTGAATCACATAGAATGATGGTGGAAGGAAGCTGCAGTAAAAGCGCGAGACAATGACTGTGAGCGTACAAGCGGAACTTAAGCGGCCAAAATAAGGATGCTTCGTAACCAGTGTAGTCTAGCTCGCAACGCTGCAATACTAGGATGAGCCAGTCAGAACACCGCGGTGCAAGACAACCACTTGGCGGTGCAGCCCAACTCAACTCAGCAGCATTCGTAGATGATCATCATCATCATCATCAACACGTTAGCTAGAGGTGGGGAACACCTCAGCTACTGTGCCGCAATACAGAAAAAAGGGGGGAAAATGCAACTGGTGCAAGCTGGCCGAGCTACCGGTAACGGATGGGCATCGTTCCGGTAAGCTACCAGCCGGCTGCTGTGCACCCAAAAAATATTATGCAAAATTATATAAGGCTAAATAATGAGATCGTGGTTGGAGGGGGAGGCTAAGAGGGATGGGGTGGGACAAAGAAACTCACAGCACGAACGCCACTGAGGTCGGCTCCTTGCCATATCAGCAAGTGTGTCCAACCAAACGTGTTCATCGTCTTTCGGACCCCAACCAGGGAGCCGAGACGCTCCAACTGAGGCCAGCTCAGAAGTGAGGGCCTTCATTCCTCTGGACCAAGTCATCGCTTGGCCACCTCTCCTCTTCTTCCATCCACACCCCCGGCGCGCAAACAACGCATGTCGCGGAAGTCGGTGGGCTGGCATGCGTAACACGTGGCCGAGCCATCGGAGCCTGATGCGTGAAATAACGGTGCTGAGCGGTTCATTTCCTTTTCCTGTGCCATAAACAAGGCGTCGAACACGCTCGTTGCTCACGCGGTGTTCCCACCAGATGTGAGCTAAATTGCGAAGGCACCGGTGGTCGAACGTAACTAGCCTCTTTAGGTCCGCTGCTTTAAGCGACCAGGTTTCACAACCGTACAGTAGGGTCGAACGTACTGCTGCATTGTACACTCTACCCTTCAGGGAGAGAGTGATGTCGCGCCGGCGCCATAAGTCGCGAAGGTTAGCAAAAGCGCCCCGAGCTTTTGCTATACGATTCGTGATTTCATCTTCAATCCTACGGGCGCTGATACAACTTCCCAGGTAGTTGAATTTTGAAAGACTTCTAGCTGATCCCCACTAACGCTCAGCGTAGGAGGCGGTCCAGACCAATCTCGGAGAAACGCTTTGCACTGCGAGGGTGCGAAGCAAAGCCCGAAGTGACGGACAGCTAGTGCTAATCTGTCCAGTGCCGCTTGGCACGTTTGTGAGCTGTCACATATGAGGGCAATATCATCAGCATACTCTAAGTCAAGAAGTCGTTCTACTGGGAGCAGATCCACACCTTCAAAGTCGTGTCCTGTGAACGCGATTTCCATGACTTCGTCAACAGCGAAGTTGAAGAGGAAAGGTGACAGCGGGCATCCTTGTCTCACGCCGCTGGAGATATTAAAGGGCGACGACAACTTGCCGTAAGCCCTCACTCTGCCCGAGCTACGAGCATATAATACTCGGATAATATTCACATATTTCTCAGGCACACCTTTCCTGAGTAGACAGTCCTAAAGTGCATGTCTATCCACCGAATCGAATGCACTTTTGATATCGAGGAACACGACAACGGTGGGCCGCCAATATATGTGATGGTGCTCCAACAACTGACGCAAGGTGAAGATGTGGTCAATGCAGCTACGACCTCGACGAAATCCAGCTTGCTCTTCGCGAATCTGGCTTTCACGAGTGCCAGTCAGTCTGTGAAGGATGAGAGAGGCAAGCAATTTTGAGGCGATGGAGATCAGACTGATTCCTCTATGGCTGCCGCATTCCGATCGTGAGCCTCCTTTGAAAATTGGGACTATGATAGCGCGGCTCCAATCGGTTGGGACAGTCTCCTGCTCCCACAGTCTCACTAGTAACTCGTGTAAATCATCCACAAGACCAGGTCCCCCGAATATGAAGAGGGCTGGAGGAAGGTCATCAGGTCCCGCGGCTTTATTTAACTTCAACATTGCGATCTCACGTTCGACTTCTGAGCGAGAGGGTGGATCCAAAGGAACATTCCACGGAGCAGGGCGATCACTGGTCGGCGAGAAATCTAACACTTCCGACCGATTAAATTGCCCTTTAAAGTGCTCAGCCCAACGCTCTAAGCGTTTTGATAAGTTGTGGATAGGCTGTCCACTCTCGTCACGTATAGTTTCACTAACACCAGGTCTCCTGCTGACCGTTTCCCGTATCAGACGGAATAACTTACGATGGTTACCAAGGGCAGCGGCCATTTCCATCTCTGATGCACGACGAGACCACCAGGATTCGCGGTCTCTCTTCAGGCTAGCACGGAGTTTCGCCCGGAGCTCTTTGCGAGTTTCATTGTGTTCGCTTCCAGCCGGAATATGCCGGCGAGCATCTATAAGTTCCAGAGACTGTGAAGAGACCCAATGTTCATGTTGGCGATTAGACACACCACATGAGGATTTGCCTGCTGCTAGTAAGGCCTGTTGCATATGAGACCAGTGAGCTTCAATTGCATCCAGTGAGCATTTATCCAACTCGGATGATAGCGTAATTTGATAGGCGTTCAGAACAGCTGGCTTCACCAGTCTGCCGGTGTCAATGCGCTCGTAGATGATAGACTAAATGAACCCAGTAAGACTGACGATAGCGAAGAAGGGAAAGCAAGAGAAAATGTGTGAAACATGTGCACAGAGATAAGCCGAAAACGGTAGAAATGTAAAGCGGAAACGACAGATCATTGATGATCCACCGAAAAGGAAATGTTATGTGCCATCAGTAATCGCTGAATTGATCAATCATATGGCCGCTATCCAGAAGCGGAATGCATCGGCGCGATTCACTGATTTGAATATGCTCACTATTCATTGCACATGTGATAAATTGATAGCATTGGAATTTCCCTCAAGAGAGTGCAATTCTGGTAACCAAGTAGTCAAGTGAAAGAGGTGAGCCGAAAATCACCAAACTCATGAAGTCTAAGACCGACATGGTGGCAATTTGCTGTGAAATGCGATGTCTACGATTCGTAGTCGAGGTTACGTTTCAGAGACCGATCAGTGAGAGACATAAGGGCTCCAAACATAAAAGATTAGAGCACGTATCCCACCAAGTCGCAACGTGAATGTAACAAGCTAGTAAAAATGTGCATATAGCATCATCTCTACTGAAACAATTGGCAATGGGAGACGGATGCAAGAACCAGGCACCATGAGAATTGCGTAAATGGTAACAGCTGACGCTTGAGAAGACGAGAATGTAATCTACTTGGATTTTTCGAAAGCACTGGATCGTCTAGACCATCGGGTACTCCTTTCTAAGCTCCAGTATTGTGGGATCAGTGACACTCCTCTAACCTGGATTGCCAACTTTCTCCTTCAACGGCAATTAGTGGTCAGAGTTCGGAGCTCTTCATCGGACCCCGTATAAGTCGAATGTGGTGTCGCAAGGCTTAGCTCTGAGGGCACAATTGTTTTTGGTGTTTATTAATGACCTCGCACAGGTAATCGCTTCAAACTTCCTACTGTTTGCCAACGATATCAAGATTTGGCGGGGGATTCAGATGAATGCCGACCGGCATCTGCTTCAGAGTGGCCTAGACACGATATGTCAATGATCAACCCAAAACTTACTGCATTTCAACGTGATTGAATGTAAGGCACTCTCCATACGCCATCAGAGAAACTCATACCCATACTGGCTCAAAACGAATGTACTGCAACATTCAACTGTCGAACGTGACTTGGGTGTGCTGGTTCAAGATGGCTTGGGTTGCTTCAGGCAAACTGAAAAGACTTCGAAGACTGGAAACCAACGCGTGGGGTATTGCGACGGGCGTTCGGACAAACAAAAAGCTCTATTTTTGGACAAATCCTCAGTGCGTATATTCGCCCCCATGTCGAATACGCAATTCAAGCCTAGCATCCATGGCTGAACATGACCTTAATGCAGCCTTAACGTCGGGCATCTAAGTACATAATTTGAATGCGCAATCTCTCATAAGAGCAGAGGCTGAAACGATTGGGGGTATTCAGCGAACAGTATCGTAGATTAGGAGGCGACCTGAAAATGGCATACTTGATTCTGCACGACCCATGTCATGTGCGCCGCATCTTACTGCAACTCAGCAACAATACAAACTTATTGAAACTCGCAGAACAGTATAGCCGCCTGGAGTGCCGCAGGAATTTTTTTCCATTTCTGTATATCACTCGTGGAATGCTCTCTCTGAATCGGTCAACTCCACACCGACAGTAACAATATTTAAAAGACGGTTGGATGACGCATTAATCTAATTGCACTTTGTTACTTAGCACTATGTTCCCACCTAACTCCTGGAGTGCACCATGGATTTATTTAATATTAACTGTGGGTGCTGTGAACCTAAACGGATTGCAGGACTACAGCGGAGCAAACGATAAGTCCTTCTTTTCTTATTCAAAGTACTAACCGTTTGATTATTACTATTATTTCGGTATCCCCACCAAACTACCCGACGGGGCTGTAAAGCGGCGCTTTTTAACCCGTATAAATATTGTTCGTTGTTCGTTCACACATAAATCACAAGCGACACGTATGGCAATCGGATAACGAGGTAGTTTCGCTAGGTGCCGGATGAATCCTACTGGAAATGTAGGATTAAAGGTGCAACACGATTATTCTGGTTTCAGTTGTATCCCACTGTAGCGGGATACGCAGCTAACGCAGAAAACGTCGTTTCCTTGGTCGACAAGGGGCCAGGTAGCTCCGCAGTGTACTATTTGGCGGCGCTAGCTCAGTGCATTTGTCCGGAGATGATGCAGCTTCAAATGCCGGTCAAGCCAGTGTGGGCATTGTTCTAAGCCCCAGGGCCGAAGCTGCCCTGATCGACTGTATCCCGGCCAACAGCAGAATGTGCTTTGATAGACTAGCTGGCTCGTTCGAAGTCGAGCGGGGACAAACGGGACCTGTTTGTTATTGCCGCATACGCCTTCACAAAATGAAACACCGGCTCCGTGAATGAAGATGTCTACCACAAATTGAACAGAAACAGTAGGCATAATATAGTGCCAGCAGATGACCAAAACACCCATTTCCGAACAGTATCCACTGATGAGCTCCATCTGCGTGGCCAACACGATGCAGCCTCCCATAGTGATCACAGTGAGTCGTTGCTAAACCTGTGTGAAGATGCTCGTCGATTCCCGTTCCAAGATAAGGCGACGAACGGTAATCGAGGCCAATAATTTTGTCACAATTGGCGTCAGGCTAATACCCCTGTGGTTAGAACACTCTGTGCGACTTCTCTTCTTGTATATTGCCACTATAATCGAGTCGCTCCAATTAGCCGGGACGCTCTCTTCTTTCCAGATACATTCGAATAAGGAGGTCAGTGCTTTGCAGAGGACCTCATCTCCATCCTTAAATAGTGCAGGTGCGAGAGAATCCGGGCCAGTGGCACGAAAACAATTGAGGGCTATAATCGCGTTTCGGACCTCGGCCTCCGACGGAGGCTCTAAACTAACCGTCCATGGATCGTCCTGCATCACTTGAGCAGGAAGAGGTCCCGGAACAGGGAGCCAGCTGAACTGATCTTGAAAGTGTTCCGCCCAACAAGCCATACGGCGCTCTCTATTGTGTATCAGCGCACCCGCGCTGTCTCTGATTGTCTCACTGACGCCTGATTTTCTGGGACCAGTGGTGCGGATAAGCTGGAAGAGCTTGCGATAATTGCCTATTGCTCTTGCCTCCTCCATTTCTTGAGCACGACTGGTCCACCAGGCTTCCTTGCCAGCACGCAGGCTCTGCTTTAGTTCACGCCTAATAGCTCGTCTGATCACACTGTGTTCAGGGCCAGCCGAGAGGTGTCTTCTAGATTGCAGCAGGTTCACAGAACTCGGATATCCAGTGACTGGTGCGGTGACGATTGATAGTGCCACAAGCAGATGCTCCTGCGTCGTGCATGGCGGCCGAGATCTTATTCCACTGAAGCTCAGCGTCATTAGGACAAGACAGCGAAAGTTCGGTATGCAGTGCATCTTGATAGGCTTGCCTGACCGAGGACTGAGACAATTTCTCCGCTGCCAATTGTAGGGGACGCTTGGTGCGCCTCCTGGTAAAGTTCATGGAGAAACAACAGCGTACCAAGGCATGATCAGAGTCGACACAGGTATTCCAGTACAAGCGGCAATCCAGGATGGAACCACACCATCTGTAACTTATGGCAATGTGGTCAATTTGGGTCCATCGCTGGCCAGCTACAGGAGGATGCCAAGTAGCACTTCGACACCCACTGTGTCTAAAAGCAGTGCCACTAAGAAACAAATGGTGCTCTGCACGCAGTTGCAGCAAACGCTCACCGTTGTCAGTCCGTTCGGTGTTAAGCCGATAATTACCACCCAGCTGAGCTTCTGAAGAGCTCAGACGCCCTGCAAGTATTATAATATCTTAACTAGTAGCACTGCGCAATAGCGCATTCAGTTCGCGATAGAATGTGACATTGACGGCATTTGAACTGCAGTCGGTGGCAGCATAGACGGAAATCGCAGACAAACAGTGTTTTGTACTACTTTGTGAATCAACCTTAGCTGATGTCGTCAAACGGGCTGCACACAAACGGCTGTTCACCGGAATCCAATCAAGCAACGATGGCTCAGTCTTGGAGCTTAGCATGATACCTACACCAGCTTGACCCGTGAGTGCTGCATCAGCGTCTCCGGATGCGTGCAACCAATAACGAGAGGATAAGCCGGGTGCAGTTAATTCAATAACCCCGTTAAGCTCATTGATCCTAGTTTCGGACATAAAACACACATCAATACCCAGTGTGTCCAAGGTGCGTGCGAGTGCAGCCTGTTGACCAGTTTGTCTTAGAGTGTCGCCATGGAAACGGGATAGCGTGGTCTTATAAGGGACTTTTGCCGATAGGCGTCCGATAGGTGTGGTGGGATGATGGCTGCAGATGGTTCTGCTCCAGTGGCACTTCGGTTGCTGTCAATTAAGCTGGGAATTATAGAAGAGAGGTTAGTAATGGGGTCGGGATGGGAGCAAAGAAAAGAAAAGAAAGAAGGGAGGCGCCAGCAGTAGCATGTTTTCGATTATCCGCCCTGCTGTATGCAGCAGATAAGGCGACCCTTGATAATCTGCGCGACGGCCGATGCAGAATGAAGTTTATGTTTGAAGCAAATGTCATGGTTGTATGTGGGCTGATACTACCAGGGCGCCCAAACCTAGACAGGAGGACGATTAGGGTCCTCATCCAAAGCCTTTGGCTCAAAAGCCTGTCCGCAAGGCAGCGGAGAGGTGGCAGTTATTTAGTTTTACTGAAATGGACGCCATCCCATTTTAAACCCCCCAACCTGGAGGACCAGGAGACTAAGTTTGTCTGACTTCTCACCATTGACCAATCTGGTAGGAGTAGCTCACAAGGTGGCCGGAGGCATCACCCAGTGTAGCTCAATGGGTCAAGGAGGTACGCAAACCGTCGCACCACGTTAAGGTCTAGCCTCGTTGCGACGGTTGGTGAAGATCAGCTAGAAGTCATTAAGAAATTCAGATACTTGGCAGTTATATTAGCACTTGTGGAAAAGAAGATGAGGTTACGAACTGCATAGCAAAAAGCTCGAGGCGATTTTGTCAATCTCCGCCACACGTGGCGCCGGCGCAGCATCACTTTCTCCCTGAAGGACAAAGTTTCCAATACAGCTGCCCGGTTAGGGAATTTATAGGGTAGCAAAATCTGACCCATCAGTTTGATAGATATAAAGGGGTTAGTTACGTTTGACTATCGCTGATTTCGCAGCCCAGCTCTTGTCTGGTGTGAACACCGCATGAGCAATGGACGTGTTTGATGTCGCGTATTTGGTACGAGAAGAGAAAGTGAACCGCTCAGCACCAGGTTCCGTTAGTTGAGCCACGTTCAGCACATGCTAGTACACCGACTCTCGAGTCGCGCGTTGTTTGCGCACCTGCGGTGTGGAAGGAAGTAGAGGAGGGGAAGCCAAGGAATGACCTGGGAAAAAGTAAGGAAGACACAGCGTGTTCCCCAAATCCAACTTTAAATTTCTTTCCGCTGTGCTAAGCGTTGCTCGCGGATCTCAGTAGCGTAGTATTCAGGGCGTCAGTCATGAACTACTAGGCTCTGAGTTCCACCCCAGCTCAGGTTATCAGCACCTGATGAATCCAAACCAGGAGGAAACCGCAGTCATGGCGTGCCAGTGTTGGGAGGATCAACACCGAAATATTTCCATTTCGGATACGGTCCTAGCCATCGGAATGACCGAGATTTACCTCAAGGTGAACCGAGGTCTCAATAGTGGTGGTGTGTCACAACCCAACGACACAGCGGGTTCCCCAAATTCAACTTTTAATGAAGACCCTCATTTAGAAGTTAGCTTCGGTTGGTGGATCCCGACTGCCGGGTAACGGTCTGAAGGATGATGAACACGTTTAGTTGGATACAATAGTTGACATGATGAAGAGGCAAGCTCAATGACGTTTGTGTTGTTCAGTATCTTGGAATAGGCTTAAAACCGACTGGGATTTCGTGATTGCAGGTTATGAATAATATAGGTTTTTGTATGTATTTATTGTGTTATGTTTCTGTGTCCCTCCCCTTCGAGTTCCTTCTCGAACAACGATCCCATACTCAGTGTATGATATTAATTGTGTAGTGTTTAATATCTTGTTTTTGTATTGCAGCACATTAGCTAAGGTGTGTTTCACATCCACAGCTAACGTACATTGATGATGATGTGTTATTGCATCCGATGCCAACGCACCCTGAAGGTCAAGAGCAAAATCAGGGTGGAAAAAGGTGAGCCAATAATGAAATCAAGAGTTTACAAACTCACCCTTCTTACGTACTATGTCGGCCAACCGCATGCTCCGATCCATTGCTAAAATGGGAGCAAGCGGAGGGATGGGTGGGTCGTCGCTGTTGGGACGGGAATAACGTGACGCTGCAATGAGGTACTTTCCATTGCCGCAGCCAATATCGGCACCAAGAGCACCCGGGGGTTGGCTGCGCAAAAACGATAGGACGGCAGGCCATGGAGAATGACGTGTACGGTTGAAGTCGGAAGCGATTTCATCGTATACCTCGAAATGCAATCGTGGACACACAGGTACTAAGACCCACTGGCCAAAGTAAATCGGGTAGCATACGTATTGAAACGATTAAAAGAGAATACCAGCCTATTGGTGAAGTAAGGAAACCGCCGAGGATAAATGTAGTGAATCACAGCAAAGTGCGTAAATTAAATGTGAATAGTCAGATGAATTATCGTTGACTAAACTGAACTGTAGAGAAAATACATAATTCGAATACGACCTGTGATCGCTGAAGGAGAAACTACCGATGGATTCGTTCGACGCCTTCAATGCATCTGGACGGCATGCTAAGTTAGGCTATGTAATCATTATCGAAAAGCCCAACATATACATGATACTTCCACAAGCTCACCGAGCCTAAGAGGAAGCCAACCCATGATGTGCATAAGCTAGTTACGAAAATCGATGGAGTTTTTGTGATGATCCTAATGCTAGCAAATCAGAAGATGATTTGCTGAACGTTGAGACCGACGACGGTGCGGCCACACGACGGAGTGTTACGGTCGAGTGGCAATAATATCAGTTGATTCTTCCACAATATAATTGTAATGATCAAACCGTGGTTGTGATTGAATTGCATGAATAGGAAGTGTGAGCTATACTATGAGGAGCAATCCGACAAAAAGCCTCATGCAGATAGGACTTGCTATGAGCTTGCCAAGTGCATACTTTTCCACGGTCTGAATTTTGCTGAGGCAATCAAAAATGATCGCTGTAATAAAAATCACACGCATACAATCCACTTTGCGAGCAAAAAGGGTGCTTTTCTGTGATTTCCCAACAATGTTTTAGCAGAAATGATAAGCTAGACACAAAAAAGTGATAGGCTGCTTAGTCCGATGACTTCTGTCTGTCCATATGCGACTAGACTTTTTGTGCGGTAAAGCCCACAGGTAAGTGATTCGACCCTATGAATTTGGCGTGAAGATGTTAGTTAATGGATAGCATGTAACCGGTCCGCGGACGTCACGGTACCACGTTAAAAGGTAAGAGGTCGATGACTGTTGCTTGCCCTCTTTTCCTCTCCTGCACTTCTTCCTTCCCTCTTCCGTGCTTCCTTAGCTGCTGCCTCGTTTATATCGGCCTCTTATTAGGCGGTTGTGATATGGGTATCCAACCGACTACGAGGTGTCTGTTTTGTGTTGCAGCTCTAAGGGTCCATTACGGCCAGCCATACTGTTTGGACATGGAAGAGATTGGAACGCCGGACCGGAGGAATATTACAAGTAGCAATTATCGATGTATGGGTTAAAATAGGAACACTGTTAATCTCTTGTACAGCGAACAGCAAGGATAAGGGGAATCACTGAAGGGAAGCAAGTGAATGAGAAAGCAGTTAGACGAGCCACCCGAAAACCTTTGCTGCCACAAGGAACTATGCTGTATTTGCACCGGTAGCTTGTCATTGATTAAGTAAAACACAACAACCAATACCTTGTGGGTTTGTCAAGATCGCGCCGGAGGCCCATTCCCAATCAGCAAAGACGTGCAGGCACAGGAATGCGAATGACATAGTCGCAGACTGCACCACCATGGTGTGATAGGGATGAAATTCCATTGGTTAGCAGGATAGTTGGCCGATTTAAACCGAACCAACTAACCTCACAGGTCGCCCAATTGCTGTAAGAATACTAGGCTCCGAGTGAATAAGAAGCAACGCTCAAGAAATCAACTGTCTAATTGGACAAATCGTCTAGGGGACGATATTGGAAAAATATATGAAAAACAGACCCGACGATCAAGCCTCACAAACACTCGTGGACATCCGCAAGAGGGCTCAGGGGATGGGAGAAACCACTAATTAGGTACACTAACTGGCATAGTGCAGTCAAGAATTGGGCACCGCGTTCACCTATGTCTTATCACTCCGATCCGTGACCTTTGAACATATGAGAAAACTCCTTTTCAAATCCACGCCAAATGGACTTTTCGTTGGACTTCGTTTTCCGCCTTAGGTCGCATGCCAACATAAGATCAGACGAACGAATTAACTGCGTCTAGGTACTGAGGCCAAGAGTGGTGAATTGGACGGGACTTAAAGATGGACGATTCCCTCTGATCGTGAAATTAGAAATGCCCCAATCCAAATTTAAAAACGTTCCCTTTGTCTCAGTGGTAAACTGTTCTATTTACGCATCGCGAACCACCTAACCCCTACCCTATTACCATCTCACTCGTCAACAAATCTTTGCGCGTAGGTAGTCTTTAGAATTCCGTGATCTACTACTATACGATCTATCATGTGACAGGTCATTGTAGCAACTATATTTCGTTCCTCAAAGTTGTATGTTGGTACCCTTATCTAACCATTTGAAAGGGATGCACAACGTCGACAGAGTAGCTAGCCAATTCTAGACATCGATTGCAGCGTTATGCAGGTTTGACATGTCTCTGCTTGCAAGCCAGTGTATGACCCCGAAGTCACTTTCTAAAAAGAAACATATCTTCAGTTCTGCATATATACTGGGTAATGAGATAAAGCTGCAGCGCAGGTCTGTGCTAACTCCTCAACTTGTTCGGTTGCAACGGGTACAAACATTATCAACACGCATTATTTGGTTGTTGTGACACTCACAGTCCCTCGGTGCGTTAGGGTTGTGAACAAACTTGCGCTTAGGCTTATTCAATTGCGTGGATACCAGCCAAATGTACTTCGGCCCCAGCAGTGTACTGCTAATAATTGATAAATTGCATACTATAAAATTGAAGGTATCAGACATACACTCAGTCAGACAACCAGCACAAGTCCGGAAATGTGACGTTCATCTGACTGACTCTAGACATGATGAATTTAGCATATAGCAATCAAGTTCTCCCCGGAAACACCATTGCGCATTACATGGAATAAACTTGCGTTAGTGTCTGTTCTACGATCTTCCTTACTCGCAACTCAGTAAGCGTAGTATTCCCGCTACTAGTTTCCATACAGGGTATTTTCTGGCCTAGATACATTTAAAGGCCGAGGGGTAGTTTTAACCTAAAAAGCTGATCCACAGGTACGGATAGCACTAGTCTTGTGCTTATGTGATCATCGGGCATTCTTTTACGACATCCTAATATTTTCGCTCTGATCGCGTGTTGAGTGACCACCTGTTCCTGTCTTGACATTCCCTTGATAACAGTTCAATCCACAGGGACTGCCACAACTAGCATTTCCAATGTTATTGAAGGTCCGATGGTAGTTTGCGAAGCAATTGGCTTGCTCCGTGCACAAATGGGTTATCGCTATAAACCGCTTGTCCACGCGAAGTTTGCCAACCTTTGTTAACTAGAACTGACGCAGCCGTACGGTTTAGATATTGCGCAAACTGGCCACTATATATTGCAATGTCTAAAATGAAATGTGCAGTTATGGTTGTGGTGCGCTGGACCGTCGAGACTCCTCTAGACAAGTAAAGCCTAAGCGCACCACGTTCTATAATGAGGCCCATAAGTGTTGATCCAAACACTCCGATGGGTAAACCTGTTTGCAACATTAGTTTTACAAGCTTGTGTCGTTCGGCAGCTAACGGGATTACACTCCACCATAAGCTACGTAAAGTATATTTTCCGTAACATTCAGTTGAGCAATTGTTTAATAGGCGTCGGAAGGTGAATGATATGAAATTCAACCCAAAAGGATATCCGCTGTCTGGTATTATTTTACATCAGTTACGGTGGGCGTAGGATGTTCGCGTGTGAGCGATGGCTACACTGCAGGTGGATTTCGTACCAAGTGTTCTGAAGAGCAGTAAACGCGGCAGGAGTAAGAGACTCGGAGTGATAGCATGTTATATCATGAAAAAGATATCGTAGCGGCACCTACTTTAAACTTACCTAAAAGCACAGTTGGAAAATACAAACTGTCCTCACGAAATATCCCCATATAAGAGGCTGAAACCCGGAGCACATTATTCACGCAAATCGGCTAGCGTTAATGTCCGTGCAATGGCACCACGCGAACACAGGCATTGCAGACCAGACACTTGACTGAAGACGAAATGTTTAAACGATGCCACAGATGTCTCAGATTAGCAAGCGTTGATCGTGCTTCGGCAATAGGAAGACAAATCTCACTTCCAATGGAGTCGCCAGCAGAAACACAGCTCCCTATGTAGACGAAACTATCCACTTGTTCAAACTGAGTACATGCAAAAGTGAGCACTGGGGCAAGTGAATGCCAATCCTGGAACACAACATTACATTTCTAGGGGGGCGAAGGTTGCGTATCCTAGAAGCCTTTTGTATCACTCAATAGAACATCTTCAATCGCAAAACTGAACAGAATCGTGGATGCAGGACATCACTGCGTACATCGCTAGTGACGGCGAAAAGTAAAGGGAGCTTGTCGTTAGTCCACACTCTATCTGAGGCATTAGTGTAATAATCGAAAAATGGTGGAATAAAAGGCATCAGCAATACGTCAGTACGCAGCACCGACGCTTCGCTGCTACGTAACCATCACCAGATGCACGTGGGCTAATGATACTGCGAGAGTCGCTCAGTCCCTACGCTGGCTAGAACCCGCGCAAGGCAGGCTTGTGAATCTTAAAGCTACGGGCCGGTTGGTGGTACCACATGCTTTTGCAGACAACACCATAAAGCAGGTCGATTACTCGAGTCGAACACAGTCAGTATGTCAGACATGGCGATAATGATACGCATGTAGTAAAGGTGACCCTGCTCGAGGAGTTGACAACTCGTAAACAGGCGGTCTACACATCTCCGACCAGAAAAGGAACCAGTCTGTTTTCATGGGAGTGTAGTTCCCGAATCGAGGTTAGTCTGTGGGATATAATAGAGGCCAACAATTTGGAGGCAACGGACACTAGACTGATTTCGCTGCGCTTGGTTTATAGAGCACAGACATCGTAGTTGGAGAATGGAATCATAATGAGCTCGCACTAAGATGATGGAGCCTTTTATTCACACTAAATGTTGGAGCACAGAATCGTTTACTGATTGGAAATTCTTACCATCGTACTTGAACGGCAACGGCGGAAATCCGTCTGAGCTATCAGCCTTGAATCATTTCAAGTGTCGGAGCTCAATGCACATCTTTGTTGAGTAGTTCCAGTGGCACGTTCCAAGGCGTGCAACTAGGTATACTTGTTAGGCAGACTAATGTGACTTTGCGTCTACGTGAAGTATTGATCGGTGATCCATCAACCTCGCAAAATGCCCCATTGATACCAGGACTTATGTCGCTAGTGGTAAAATAGATCTGGAAGAGCTTGTGAAAAGTTCCAGAGAGTGAGAGAGAGGTGCGATCATCATCTCTGAAACGCGATAAGATCAAGCATCGTAATCACCACATAGGTTTTGTCTGAGTTGCTGGTTGAGGCTGCAGCATATTTAGCTGCTATTCGAATCAAGTGGGATAGGTCGGTGATGATCGGATACTCCCAGTGAGCGAGCGGATATCCAGCTTCAGAAAGGACGACAAGTCATTCGTATTCTGCAAACATTTCAGATGATATTTTGAGGCGGATAACTAGCAACCGCATCAGACATGGGGGATTAATGTAATTGACGAAAGGGATTAATTGGTACCGAGTATGCGGTACTTCAGTTCCGAGGAACCCCGAGGCGTATGCAAATGTTCTTACAAGTCAGCGTGATCGTAATCGGCGTAGACGGATAAAGGAGATCTACAAGAGTGTATGCTGCCTCGAAACATCCGAAGTTGATTGCAATGTGGTAAATTTGTGGCCACGTTTTTCAGGGAAGGAGGATACCAAGTTGCGAAGTCTACACCAATGCCTGGAGTTTGTGCATGAGACAGGTGATCAGCATCATATAAGTTGACAAGTCTATCTCTTATGTCAAAGTGATGGGCAGGAAGGGCATATTGGCAACCAAAATGATGTTCACCTAGCAAGGGGCGAATGACCGCTTCGTTGAAGTCTCCAAACAAAGACGATTTTTCGGCTTTACTCAAAAGCTAGTGGAGGTCGAGATAAAAATCATTCTCAGCAGATGCGCAGCCACAGTCGGTTGAGGTGCAGGAGAGGAGCACAAACGAGGTGCATCTCTTTCCACGATGATTTGTTAAATCTTGCATGAGCCTTGAAGTCGAACCGCACACAGCCGGGCTCAGAATAAATCGAACTTGGTTTCTGACCATTATACGGTATGCATCTGCAATCGCGGCCAACTGCGGGCGGTATTTGGTGGGTCTACGCCTTTTAGCCAATGGATTGTCCAGACTGAGATGAGTGGTAGTAATTCATTGAGCGAAGGCGGTGCTCTCCCATTGTTAAAGACAATCCTCGCTTGACCGCTTTCCACGCAAATCGAGCCGATATCATGACTCTTACACTGTTAGCATATTAAGTGGTGATAGAAAGAAAAACAAATTTCTTACCTTATGAACATAATTATCTTCCAGAGCAATGGGGTCGAAGTCAATTGTGTCCAACACGTGTGCCATGCAGCAATGAAAATCAGTGGTCTGAAAAAAGAATGGAGGATGTTCATGGTTTGAGAACTATCAAATAGTAAAAAGAGAAAAGTGGAAGAGAACATGGATCCAGTGGAGTAAGGTAGTGGTTCAGCGACGGAAATTAGATGCAAACTACTGAGGCCCTAGTTTATGGTTACACTCACCAAACACAGAGCAACATATAATGATTAAGTCTTGTTGTAATTCACTGCAAAGTGGATAGCGATTGAGTAGTGAAACAAGTGGGCTGCTAGAAATGGGGTCAAAACACAAATTCGAAACTCGCTTGCGATGCTATTAAGGGCTAATTATTGTAGAGTAAATGGAAATCGGGTATCAACATCATCATCGATACACGTTAGCTAATGGTGAAAAACATGCCTCAGCTAATGTGTCTCAATACAAAAAGAACACAGTAGAAAAACTCAAATAGTAAGTGATTTAATGTTAAATATCATATCACATATTAGAAATGAGATCGTGATTACAGGGAGAATCTAAAAGGGAGGGGATGAACAAAAAAACTCACAACACGAACGCCATTGGGGCCGACTCTTCGCCATAACAAGTGTGTCCAACCAAACGTGTTCATCGTCACTGGGACCCCAGCCAGGCAGTCGGGATGCAGCAACCGACAGAACATCGAAGTGAGGTCTTTCATTCCTCATGACCAAGTCATTGCATGGCCTCCCCTCACTTGTTCCATCCACACCCTCGGCGCGTAAACAAGACACGACGTGGGAGTCGGTGAGCTGGTCTGCGCAACACGTGGCCCAGCCATCGGAGCCTGGTGCGTGATATAACGGTGCGGAGCGGTTCACTCGCTCTTCCTGCACTAAATACGCGACGCCAAACGCATTCATTGCACACGCAGTGCTCCCACCAGACATGAGCTAAGCTGCAAAGGCAGCGACAGCCGAACGTAGTTAAGTCTGTCCACCGGATGGGCCAGGTTTCATAACCGTATAAGAGGGTCGAACGGACGGCTGCATCATAAAATCTGCCCTTCAGGGCGAGAGTGATGTCGCGTGGACGCCACAGGTGGCGAAGATTGACAAAAGCATCTCGAGCTTTTGTTGTATGGCGTGTGACTTCATAATCGATCCCACGGGTGCTAATATAGCTGCCCAGGTACTTGAATTCCTGAGAGAGGTCTAACTGATCACCACCAAGGGTCTGCGCAGGGGTGGGTCCCTGGCAACCTTGGAGGACTGCATTTCGAGAGTGCAAAGCATAGCCCAAAAGAATTGACAGCGGATGCTAATCTGTCCAGTGCTACTTGTTACGTTTAGGAGCTGTCACAGATGAGTGCAATCTCGTCCGCATAAAAGAGGTCAAGAAGTCGCCCACCAGGAAGTACGTCCAAAAGTTGTAGGTCGTGTCCAGTGAATGCTGTTTTCATGACTTCGTCAATGGCGAAGTTAAAGAAGAAAAGTAACAGCGGGAAACCTTGTCTCACACCGCTGGTGATACTGAAGGACGGCGACAGTTTGCCATAAGCACTCCCTCTGCCTGAACTGTGCGTATAGTGCCCTGACAATGTTTACGTAATTTTCGGGCACACCTTTCCTCAACTGATAGTCTCAAAGGGCACATCGATCAACCAAAACGAAGGCACCTTTGATGTCGAGAAACAAGACAACGGTGGGTTGCCAATACACATGGCTGTGCTCCAACAATAGACGTAAAGTAAAAATGTGGTCGATGCAGCCTCGATTTCGACGAAACCCGGTTGATCCTCACGAACCTGAGCTTCACGACGGCCAGTCAGTTTGTGGAGAACGAATGAAGCAAGCAATTGAGACCAGGCTGATCCCTTTATGGTTTCCGCATTCAGAAGGGGAGCTTCCCATGAAAATGGGGTTAGTGACGGAGCAGTTCCAGTCTGTGGGGAAAGTTTCCTGCTACCAAAGTTCCATTAGCAACTCGTGTAAATCATCTACAGCAGCAGGTCCCCCAAATTTGAAGAGGGTTGGGGGATACTATCTACCCTGCGGCCTTATTTAATTTAAGCAGTCTGATCTCACGTTCGACTGCTGCACGCGAGGGCGGGTCCAAAGAGACGGCGCAGGGGAAAGGACACTCTATGCTCGAAAAAGGAAGTGACATCTCAGATTGGTGAAACAGCCATGCAAAGAGTTCGGCACAACGCTCCAAGCGTTTTGGCAAGATGTGGATCGGCTGTCCACTCTCGTCGTATATGGTCTCGCTAACACCGGGTCTCCTGCTGCACGTTTCCCGTAGCATACGGAATAACCAAAGGCACCGGCTGTTTCCATTTCCTAAGCACAATGAGATTACCAGGCTTTGTTGTCTCTCTTAAGGCTAGCACGGAGATTTGCCCTAGATTTTTGTGGGTCTCATTGCATCGGCTTCTAGCCAAAATACGTCGGCGAGCATCCAGAATTTCCATAGACTGCGTAGAGACCCAATGTCTAGGTTGGCGATTTGATTTGCCGATCCATACATGCCTACTGTTAATAACGCCTGGCGGATATGCGACCAGTGACCTTCAACAGTGTTCAGTGGGCGCTTACCTCGCTCTGTGGACTGCTACTGAACACAAAGAAGACGAAGGAGCCACCCGGATATCAACGGTCTTCGTTAATCGCCAAGCTGCTTTGCGGGTTAGGTCTTAAGAACAAAGGCTCGAGAGGGGGTCCCTTAAATCAACCCTCTTCCTCGGCCTGGGCAACCGGTAAGATCTCTGCCCACACAACACATTAACTTTCTAAATCCTGTCACTGACTACCCGTTTTTCCTCCCTTTTTGTTGTTGTTAACTATGTGTTGTGGCACTGCCAATTGTACATGAGTCAAGTGTTGAATAATAATAATAATAATAATAATAATAATAATAATAATAACCCCGGATGCCAGCGTACTTTGATACGCATTCAGAACACCTGGCTTCGCCAGTTAGCTGGTGTCTATGTGCACACAGTGACGTTGCGAACGTCTGCCGAAACGCACCCGAAGGTCGGTACACACAAGAGCTTGATCGGAGTCCACGCTCGTGCTCCAAATCGAGCGATAGTTTTGTACGCAGCCTCGCCAGCGGTAGTTGATCGCGATGTGATCAATTTGTGTCCATGGCTGGTGGGCGTCAAGTCACTCTTCTGCGGGTACTGTGTCGAAAGTTAGTGCTCGCGAGAAACAGACAAGCATCTTCACACAGGTATAGCATCTGCTCACCATTATAATTACAGGAGCCTAGATAATGTTGGCCGAACAGATGAAGCTCATGAGAGGACAATTTTCTCACTCTGGCATTCAGATCACCAGCAAACACCACAGTATCCGTACACTTTCGGAGACGAAGGAGCCTGTTAGGTTGATGATAGAAATCATCTTTCACCAAATCCGTGATACAGTTTGTGGGGGCGTATGCCGCGGTAACAAACAGGCACCGTTTGTCCCCGCACGACTTCCAGGCCTGGAACGAGCCAGCCAATCTAACGGCGCACATCCAGCTGTTGACTGGGATCCAATCGATCAGGGCCGCTTCAACCCGACGACTCAAAAAATACCGACGCCAGCTTGACCAGCACTTGAAGCTGCGTCATCTCCAGACAAGCGCGATAAGAAAGTACCATCAGTATCGCATGTGGGGGATGGCAGGGTAAACACTAAGCTCGAATCTTGCAGGCGGGTTTCTGATAAACAGCAAATAGCGATCGATAGGGTCTCTACTGTTCGGGCAAGTGCTGCCTTTTGACCGATCTGCAGCAAAGTGCAGAGGTTGAAGCGTGCCAGTCTTAGCGAAGATCGAAAACTCCAAAGGGGAACAGATTAACTGACGTTGTCCGCTTGGTTGAACATGGACTTGTCGACTGGACTGGAGCGACGCCC